GGGGTCATTTGACCCCAGTACTTTTTCCTGCCATGGCAGGGGGTCAGACTAGATGATCTGCCCAGGTCCCTTCCGACCCTAGAAACTACGAAACTATGAAACTATCTCTTTGCATTCCTTAGTGATTTTAGGCTAGTAACATAAACCAGTAACAGATTGTGGGCCTGATGCAAAGTCCATTGAAGTTAATAGCAAAATTTCTTGTTGGCTTCACGAAGCTTTTGGTTCAGGCCTGCTGACCCTAGAGTTACTGAAAATATTCCTGTATAGAATTACAATTCTGGATGGAATGACCATGTTCCTCCATTAAGAAAATCTTAGATTTGTTATTCCCTCCTTAATTTGCTTTAAACAAATGTTACAACAAACAAACAAACAAACGTCTTAGGCCCAGCCCCCAACCTCAGTAGATGAAGCCCTAATTGTGTTTCAAGTAGAAAGACAGGAAGCATTAAGTAAAATGCTTCCCTGGCACACTGCTCTATTCTTTTTAAAAGTCGAGCACTTTACTTGGTAACGTCCCATTATTGTACACATAAACAGGTAATGTTTTTTTAAGTGGCCATCAAGTGGGGTTTTGGAGTCACAATACAACAAGAAAAAAGAAGACACAGTAAAGGAAAGGAAACATGTAAACACGGAGAAAAAATGAGGCAGTGTTGTAAAAGGGGTATTAAATAACTAGGAGCAGGGCTCCTCATCAGTGAAGCTGGCTGGGATTTGAGCACTTACCCACAGTGCAGACTTTCTTGTAATCAGGACAGCATTCCATGAAGTGTTGACAGTTATAATCACAATGGCAGTCATCCTCTCTAGAATACCCTTCCCCACATCTCCCTGCACAGCTTGATAAATCTAAAATCACACAATACTAGTGTAAACATTGCCAAACCACAGCAGTAAGCAAGGAAGCATTGACTGGCAAAGAATTTTTCTTCTTAAAGAATCCATTTGCTCACTCATTATTATCAGGAGCTCCAGGCCCAATCTAAATCCCTCTGAAATCTATGGGAGTTTTTCCACTGCCTTCAACAGGAGTAGAATCGGGCCCTAAAAGAAACGTTTTTGATCAAGTTCTTGGCTGTTTTCCAAGTTTGGATGTAATAGTGTAAGTCCAATCCTAATGTGATTTGTAATAAGAATTTTTTAAAAATTTAAATCAGAAAAAAGTAACATATATTGTATAGGGAGAAAATATAAAGTGTGTTTCTGCTCCCAAAGAAATCAGTGGCAAATCCCGTTGATTTATCTGGGAATTTGATTGGGCCATCCTGTGTTAATCTGTGCAGCTATACTCGTTCATCATTTATATATGTTACTACAATCTAGAGTGCTGAGCTAAAGGTTGCAATAATTGAAATAGTACACTGGATTCAAATTAGAGATGGGCCTGCATTTCAAAATGCAGAGGCAGATTCACAGATGCTAACATTCAAGGGGGGTTGAGATCTGGAGGGTGAGTAGCAATACAACGGGAAAAAATGGGGACCACTTGTGCAGATTGGATCTGGACCCAGTTACTTGGTTTGGAAACTAATGGAAGTTCAAAGCTTCCCCTGTTGGGAGGATGTGGTGAGTGAGGGATTTGGTTCAGGTCCATCACTAAGCAAAACCTGTTATTCTGATTGAATCTGTTCTATTGCAAGCACAAGTATTTTACTGTTCACAGCTCACCATCGGGGAAAATAAGTCTTAGAGGATAGCAAAAATACCCCCCAAAAAACCTATAAAACTAAGATTGACATAACTTGTTTATTTCTAACTGTTTTGTTACCTTTTCTTTGCACTTGGGATGCTAAAATTTTTTAAGTTGAACAGAACATCTTAAAACTTCAAAATATTTTGCAAAAGAAAAAAGAGAGAGATACATCCCCATATTACACAGGGAGTATACACATTATGTCTGAGACAGTGAGGTTTAAGACCAATTCTGTTCTGAATAATTTTAAACATGACACCACATGGCTGTATACTTTTATTTTGTTTCAACTTCCAGAAAGGATTATTTTCTGACTGCCAGCCTGCACTGAAAGTTGAACCTGGGATATACAAGTCAGGATGGTTTCTTGCCAGCTCATCAGCAATAGTAATGAATATTCTAAAAGGCCAGATTGTGTCTTCAGTGACAACTGTACTTGTCCAATAATAGGATACAATCTTAATCTGATCACAGAAGAAAAACTAACAGGAAAGTCAGGAAGAACTGAAATTCCACAAGTGCCACTGGCAGTATATATATTCTTTATAATTGAGTACAATGTCCAGAAACAGGAGAATGCCTATTTGCAAGGATTCCCATTAACAAAAGGAATAGTGTTTAGTTTTTCAACTGATGAATACCATCATAATCATGGTGCCATTTTTACAGCCAACTTTCAGAGCAGAATTACATTTCAAATTGGTTGCCTGAAAGGGTCAGAGAGGGAATCAGTGTTAGTACTGGGGGAATGTAGGAACTGTTGGATCCCAGCCCTACACTAAAGCATAAAATACATTTTGGTTGTCTCTGAGGATCCTAATCACCAGTGGGCACATCTACACAAGACGCTACTGTTCATTTATTTAGTATTTGTATAAGCAAGTACTAAATAAATGTGCAGTAACTGGAGTTTACGCAGTAATAAATGAACAGTAACACCTTTTAAGTGATGCTACTGTGCAGTAACCTAATACTACTGCACGGTAGCGTCTCACCACGGTTTTTGCCACGCAATGCTACTGCACAGTAGTATCAGGTGATTGTGCAGCCAGCGTCTCATGTAGATGCATGCAATGAGTACCTTAGTACAGTCGCCTCATGGAACAGCTTGCCACAAATAATATATTTTGGATTGATATAAAGCTGGAAATACCTTGGAGAATTACCCCCCACTAAGTGAAATCCACACTTAGCATGCTAACTGCTTCTACTTCTGGAAATGAAATGCACAGGGCCACAGGTGAAGCATCCTTAAATATGAGCAAGGAAACTTAAACATTTAGAACAAGCTAAAAAGACTCCAGATAGTGTGTTGAAATGACAAGAAGCAAACAAGAAATAACATGTAACACAATACTGAAGACAAGAATAATTTTGAACAACAAAAAACTGTACATGTGCGTGTATCAAGAAGGAGAGGAGATTGCAGGGGAGAGATATAGGAGGGGAAGGGATCATTAAAAGCACTTCTCATCACAATGTTTTCTAGAGATGAGTACATATGATCTGATTCTTAAATAGAGGATAGGTGCTGCTAAGATATGAAGACCGTTGTCCAAGGGCTCTCAGTAAGTGATACAGTTATGAATAGAAGCCAGATAGGGAAGAAAATTAAGCTATACTTAGTCCATTATGTCCCAGTTGCCCTTCTATATAAGAGAACTGAACTAAGGATAGAATATAGGTGAAGCCGAAAAACAAATTGTTAAGATTATTTTCTGTTTGAAGTTATTTTTAAAGCATATAGCATAAATGGTTTTAGTGTTTTCATTCCTGACAGTAAGGCAGGAAATCAGTGGAGGCCTCAGGTCCCCAGCAGGGAAAATTTGATTCCTGCTACACAAAGATTAGATGTTGAAATCCACATTTACCCTTCTCTGATTTCTTACTGGGCAGCTACATATCATTTTTTGCTATAGAAACTTAATAATTTAATTACTTAAGAATTAACAGCAACATTAAATATTTGTAGTGCTGTATTTCCTTCCATTCTTCAAAAGAATACCATGCCAATTAATAGTCAGATGTAAAATTTTAAATGAGACAATAAAAGAATCTGTACTATTTATAGGAGTTAATGTAACAAGCAAAGTGGCTGGTCATGCATTTAGATACAAAGTTAAAAACAAGGAAAATATTTAGTTAGCATGGTATGTATTTTCTTTGTCCAATTTCTGTTTGATATTTAAAGACTCCTGCTCAGATAAATTAGTGATATTATTCCAAGCAATGAATTTTGCTAATGGTAGGCAATAAGATCTGCAGAATATAGCACTGGAAAAAGATAGATACACACACAGTATGTACATACATATTTTACGTGACATTGACTTGTACACATTATTCCACTGAAAAGAAGGCCAATTTATATTAAAATACCCTGAAAATTTTCAAATTAAATTGATACCCGTGTGGTGAAAAAAAGTTGTAAAATGTTGTAGTTTGAAGTTAGACTTTTTTTTTTAAATTAGGGTATCGTGCTTGTTATACTTTCAAATATCCAGTAAACTGTGCTTTTGCTTTGTATCTTACGGTACCTTGAGATGAAACTTGCTGGATCAAGGACACAGAAAATAATGTCAGAGATATGTAGAGTATATTCCACACCATGGTTATTCTCAGGTAATGCATCCTTCCTGAAAATTAACGCAGTCAAATTAGTATATTAAATTTAATTCTGTAGATTACAATTAACAAAATAAAATAACGTTTAAGTACCTAATAAAAATTGTGTAACAACTTTAAACTTCAGTTTGAAAATATGCTAAGAGAACTTTGCTAACTCAGAATTTTACCATGAATCCCTTCTTCAGTATACATTGATTAGATATTATGATTTGCAATAATAATATAGGTAATGAACATACTTTTATAGGGCTTATGTTTTCTACCAAATGTATATATTTGCTATATTTAGGCATATATAAATACAGTCAATTAGATATGCTTAAGTTTCTTTTCTTCAAGATAGTAATCTAATGATATGGAAATTTATCTTATATTTTGACCAAAAAAATGACACTGTAAATTGTCAAATTATTTAACAGATTTAGTAAAATATAATGTCACCTAAACTTCTCATTATTGTTTAGACATCTAAATATGACTAGTGGGGGATGCTGGATCAAAGTAGTTCTTGTTACAAAAATAAATGGGAACCCATATTCTAGGCCCCCAATAAAGAAGATTAATTTATTTTTAGGAAAGTACTTTGGACAAAATATTGTAAAAAGAGAGGTATTGCACTCACCCAACAAAGGATATGTCTCACTTTCAGTGATGTTTCAGACCTCTTATATATTGCTGTAAATACATTGCAATGAACTAGGTAGCCAATTATTAAACAAAACCAGCAGTGACAACTTATTACAGCCAATTTTCCACCCCACTTGGAAATGATCCCAGATGACTAGACTAATGCAACATCTGGAAAATACTTCCATTAAGAAATATGAGTACAAAAATAAATGTAGACTTATTAGTCAAAACACTTTTTAATTTCAGAGTGAAATGAACAAATTGTCCTGAGATGGTAATGCATCTGGCAGGCACTAGATAATATGGCATGGTGATAGCAAATCATTATAGCCAAACTTTGAGTATATTCCTTTCCCGTTATATCATACTTAGTAAATATTTGTTTAAAATCATTATCAGTTATTGATTTTGGCATTATACTTAAATACATCTAGTAGTTATATATGTACATTTAGTTGTAGTTATAATACTGTTAATTCACACTGGACTAAACTGGGGGCTACATTTTACAATGTGTACATGGTACTTCCTGCT